GTATACAATATTAACAGATGCGAAAAGTCTTGATGTGTTATCCCAGTGATTACCATTGTTGTGATAGGTAACTCTGTTTGTTAATATTAATAAAACAAATTGTTAAACACGTGGGATGCCTGCCTAATATCTAGCAAAATAAGTTAATCCGAACTCATAACATTACGTCTCCTTTGGAGATACAAAAGACACTCCACGGACCACCAGATATTATTTATGTGAGAGCAACTTGAAACCATAAAAATTCAGGCGGTAAGTACGTCTATTTCAAGAGAGCATTAAAACAACACTATAAAATTATACCCCCATCTCTCCTCTAGGGTTTCACTTTAGGCAAAAAAAAATAATAAAAAACACATTATTCAAATCATGAAAAAAACCTTTTAGTATCTAAATACGATAAACTCATAACCCTATTTTCAAACTACAAATTACTTTTGCTTCATGTAATCTCAAACAAAAGTTTCATGTTGTTGTTTCAATTCGATCGCATTGATATGAAAGAAATGTATTTATTTTCTTACAAGCAGTGCAGTCATTACTGTTTAATTTTGTGTGTAATTCTTGGCTCGTGGTCATTGACCTCTAACTAAAAAATGAACTAAAATATAAATGTTAAAATTTAGCAATAATAAAACGATTGTAAATAAATTGATGATAAAGGTATTATTTTTTATTTTGTTTATTTTTTTTTGTTGTCTTAGAGCAAAATTACGCAATGGGTTATATGAGCTTCCACATAGCATTAATAATCTCGATGCAAAGAAAATAACAAATCTATATGACGTGTCAGAAGAAATACCAAATACCCAGTCAGGCGTTGCAGACAATCCCTTTTATCCCGCTTTTTCACACCAGATGTCTGCTAAAGACTAAGACATCATTGGCTTAATACCAGTAAACTTGGTTCCAACATCTGCGTGCCAAACTCTGAAGTTGGTTAGAAAATAGTTCATTTACAAAATGAACAAAATCCATGATTTAAAAAAACAATGTACTGACTGGTCAGTAAACGACTGCATATGTATAAACATAAGTGAACAGGTTTCATTCAGATAAAAAAAAAACTCTCATTCATCAAATATTAACATTCAAAATATAGTAGTAGAGACAAATTAACAAAGGAAATTGCGGAGCAAAAGATAGCTTTGGGTTTTTTATATCTGTTATGACATCGAATAGTAGAAGCATAATGGTGTATATGTTCTACAGTTTTACGTCTTCTACAATTTTTATGATTACTCAAATCAAACAGGTATAAAGAGCAGCAGATGAAACCTAGTTGAAACTCACAGAGTATTCGATTCAGGAAAAATTTACACCACTTCTCAAATCAATCAAATTAATAGTAACAATATTTTGTTAGGAAACGTTTAAAAATTACAAAACGAATGCCTGCGATACAAATAAATAGCTTAAGCTGAATTATTTAAGTTTTAGATAGGAAAGGGTCAAAGACTGCAACGTCCTTCGCTGGCCGAACAGATGATGTCTATATATTACAGCCAACGAACTGCTGTAAGAAAATGCCCAATCACATGATAACGATATTGTAAAGTAAGGATAAGAGTTTTCCTATATCAATACAGAGCTTTGTTATTTTCAGAGTTATACTTGGCCCTCATAGTAAATAATTTTACAAAAGTATATCTTAAAAGAAGGAAGCTGTCCATCCGTTCATACAGCCAGTATTAAGGCAATTGTCTAGTGTCTGTGCAAGTGATCACGTTTGTTTTTGTTTTGCTTTGTTTGTAATAAAGATTATTTCATTTAACATCACACGTGTCCAGTCTCCATATTTCTCATTCTCACATAGTTTTAAACTAAGTTGGGTTTCAAATTAAGATTACTCTGATACTTGCGCGGAAATCAGTTTATCTAAGAACAACACCCCATATCACTCTAATGTGCAAAGTTTCTGTAGCATCCTCACGAGCACAGTGCATATTAATTGCTATGAAGAACAACAAAAACATAAAGGCAACTAGAACGAAACAATTTTAACACATTTCTGGACCATGTGTTTATAGAAAAATATTGAAAAGGAAATTTTAAAAGTCCCTATATCAATAAAGGTAGCGGAAAACACATAATGTGTTCGCTATCACGATGGTAATCACTTTGTCAACTTTATTAATTAAAAATAAAATTGTTTTCAACATAAAGGTAATGTTATTTTGTTTGGAATTACAAGCTATAACAAAGAAATTTTCAAAATACCTGAGTTTATGATATTATTGCCATCTTAAAGCTGCTTCATAAATTTATTTAAACCGAATATTATTTTTTATAAAATTGGATTTCTGTTTAAAACATGCAAATTAGTCATTTCTTGGCCTATAAGTATCACAATAAGTACTGTTTGGTTCGTAGTATTTTCTTGTAAAATTTAAGTTTTAGTACAAACTTAGTATAAAAATTTACAAATCTTTATACTACAGTTTCAAATTATCATTAATTTAATTTTTCTATGCAAGAGTGTAGTTGTTGTTTGTTATTAGAGCACAAAGCTACACAAAGGGCTATATATGCTCTACCCACCACGGGTATCGAAACTCGTTTTCTATCAGCATAAGTCCACAGACATACAACTGTGCTACTGGGGGGAGGCGCAAAAGCGTAAAACATGGTATTTTGACAAATACATGAGAAATTGCTGGTGGTTTTTATTAAAGTTAGCTACTTATTCATCTTTAATGTATAATTTCTATAGCGCAGTGGATAGCGCGTTGGATTTCTAATCCAAAGGTACCACCACCATTGCCTGGTCCCAAGTCCAGGATGAGAAAGGAGTAGAGTTGGGCGCGGGGCTAGCAACTCCGCCCGTAAAAAACCAACCTACTAAAAATTACTGCAACAACAACTTCCGTCGGCGAAGTGTTGTTGGGGACCTATGCTCCAGTGGAAGTCTACAGGGATTATTTATTAATGTATAATTTAATTTTTTTGTTATTTACCTAACTTTATTGTTTGTTTAAGTTGGATTTTATTAACCCCAGTTATTCAGTGTTTTTTAAATTCCTAAAGTAGTATACACCTAAATAGTGAACGCCTTTTGTCTGCAGAATATTGATTATAATCAATTATA